CCCGAAAGGAGTCTTCGCTGATCAAGGATGTCGAAAAATTAACCGCCCTGAAGGATGAGAACGAGAAGGAGAGTAGGAGGATGGAAAAGCAGCTTTCCGATAAAGATCGCACGGCTATCGACTTGCGGAACGAGATCGACACCCTGGAAGAGAAAATGAAACAAAACGGAAGTAAGACGGAGGATCAAATGACGGCCTACAAAGAAGAGATTGAAAGAAACGTGAAGAGGATGAAAGAGTTGGACGCTACGATCGCGAAGAAGATTCGAGAGGCGGCCGGTCTCGAAGACGAGATCACCGTCCTCAAAGAAGGAAAGGAACGTGACGGACGGAAGATAAAAGGATTGGGGGTGCAGCTCGCTAACAAAAGACGCGAGGCGACCGCTCTCAAAGACGAAATAGCCGCATTGCAAACGGACCTCTCGAAAGCGCGCGAAGAATGCGCGGACGACCGGAGTGCCGAACTTTCCATCCTTCTAGAAAAGACGAAAGACGAACTGCGACGGACGTCCCGCGATCTGGCGGCCGCCAAGGAAGCCGGATCAGGCTGAAGGCGAACCACGAAAACATCGAGAAGGAGATCCCGCAGTGGAAGCAAAGGGTCGAAGAATTGAAGAAGGCACGAGACGAATCTCACGAATCCCACGTCAAGGAACTCGGATCGCTTCTAGACGATCTCGAGAGGGAGAAATCGGACGCTGAAACGAAACTTGCAACGGCGAAGGCGAGCCACTCGGACGAGATCGAAAATCTTCGAACGCAGATATCTTTTCTCAAAGAAAAGGAATCGAAACTGAGAAGAGACACAGGTAAGTTGCATGCGGCCCTAAAGGAACGGGAAGAGAAGCATCTCGATCAGATAGCTAAACTGGAATCCGATAAGATTTCGCGATCGGCCGAAGCGGAAGAGGCTCTTGACGAGTGCGCGTCCCTCTCGGAGAAACTGAAGCTCGCGACCGATTCCGAACGTCGGTCGAAGGAGGACCTTCATTGGTGGCAAGCCGAGAAGAGGTCGTGGCAAGCGACGGCCGAACGACGTTCGGCAGATCTCGACAAGCTTCGCGACCTGCTGAATACGTCCGAGAGAGAACGCGCAAATCTTGAGTCCCAACTTTCGAACGTTGACAAGAATGTAACGGATTCGAAAGAAACGGATTCGTTGAAGCGGGAGCTGGAAAGACATCGACAGGAGATCCGACAACTCGAACGACTTCTGAGCAACGAAAAGAGGGAGAAGTCGGGTGAATCCAACGATATAATGATTTCGGAACTAAGTAACGAACTCAAAACGGTCATCGACGCGCGCGATAGACTGGTGAAAGAGAACACCGAAATGGAAAAGAGGCTATCGGAATCGGACAAAAGTCTGTCGATTTTGTACGACGAATCGATGAAAAAGGTTGTCCACCTCGAAGAATCGGTGTTTTCGAAGAACAAGGAAGCGGACGAATTGAGATCAGATTTGACGAAAACGAAGATGGAGATGGACGAGATCAAAAGACAACTCAACTTTGCCAATAACCAAGTGGCGGAGGCGTATTCCGAAGTGACTCGTATCGTCGAGAACTCGGAAGACGGACGATCGCACGAGGAATGTCGAGAACTTCTCACACGACGCCTCGATGAAGTGGAACGTTCGTTGGAAAAGGAAAGGATGAAGGCGGCCGATTGTGCGCAAATGAACAAAGAATTAATTCGACATATATCCTATCTGACGAACGAAATAGAAACAGTAAATTACGGCCAAAGTGTCGAGGTAAGCAAATTGCGCCGATTACTGAACGATTGCAGAGGCGAAGGGTCTCAACGACAACGTCGGGAACCTCCCGGTCGCCGTAACGTCGGTCCCAGCTACAACGTCGTCGAAGACGCATGTTCCGGAAGTTCTGCGTGCAAATCCGAAGAGGAAG